TTCTAATAAAATACATAAAACCCCCAAATTTTTAAAACCACATTTTAGGACTGCTTTGATTACAAACAGACTTCAGCTGCCTCCTAAAGATGGAAAGTGAGGGGCCAGGCGCACCTCACTGGGGAGGTTATTCCATAATCGTGGGGCTACCACTGAAAAGGCCGTCTCTCATGTACCCCTACTCAACATGCAAGCCCAATAATAATTTTTGCGGTCCCTATTTATCTACTTGCAATTTCTTGCTTTCGAACTGCTAGGTTGGCAGGAGCTGGAACTAGAGACGGGAGCTCACTCCGTGATGCGGCACCCAGGTCTCGAACTGCTGAACTACCTACCTTCCACAGCCTGCAGTTCAGCGTCTTAACCACTTGAGCCACTGCAGTTTTGTCCAGCAGGATTGCAGTACAAGTCTTTAAAAGAACCCGCATTTATCAGGTTCTATGCTGCAGTTTTCTATTTCTAGCTACAGGCTGCGTCTGTTCTTTAGCATATTTGTATTTCCGGGGTTTCTTATTCCATTTTAATCCCTTTAGATAGCTCCCTGACTGGATGGCCCAGGCTAGCCCAATCTTGTCAGATATCACAAGCTAAGCAGGGTCAGCCCCGGTTAGTATTGGGATGGGACTCTGGGAGACCACCCAGGAATTCCAGGGCTGCTATGCAGAGGCAGGCCATGGCCAACCACCTCTGAGCGTCTCTTGCCTTGAAAACCCTGCGGCAGTGATGGCGAACCTTTTAGAGACCCAGTGCCCAAACTGCGACCCAAAACCCACTTATTTATCGCAAAGTGCCCACACGGCAATTTAACCTGAATACTGAGGTTGTACTTTAGAAAAAACAACTCATACATTAACATAAGGTGATCCAAACAAAGTAAGGAAAGCGATCCCAAATGCTCTCATTTACTTAAAATTATTTGGCAGAGAATTCGACACTTTAACGACGGTTTGGGCCTGGCTGGGGCGATGGCACGTGTGCCCACTGAGAGGGCTCTGAGTGCCACCTCTGGCACCCGTGCCATAAGTTCGCCACCACTGCCCTACGGGGTTGCCATAAATCAGCTGTGACTTGATGGCACTTTACAGACACGTGCAAATAGCTCCCGAAGGAGATCACAGGGATCGAGACCAAATGCAAAAGACAATTACAATCAAATAGAAAATGCTTCTTGAGAAAGGGGTTTTCAGCAGAGCTATACCCTCACATGGTAGAGGGGTGCCCAGCTGCTTGCAGCCCTCCATCTAAGATCTTTGGTAAAGGTAAAGGTTCCCTTGCTCGAAAGCCAGTCGAATCCGACTCTAGGGTTGCGGTGCTCATCTCCGTTTCCAAGCCGAAGAGCCAGCGCTGTCCGAAGACGTTTCCGTGGTCATGTGGCCGGCGTGACTAAACGCCGAGGCGCACGGAACGCTGTTACCTTCCCACCAACGCGGTACCTATTTATCTACTTGCAATTTCTTGCTTTCGAACTGCTAGGTTGGCAGGAGCTAGGACCAGAGACGGGAGCTCAAGATCTTTGGTAGATTATTATAATTTTTTCTAAATAGATTGTGACAGTACCATGCAGTTGTTTTAGTCACAGGTATCAGCCTACTTTGAAGGTCAAAGAAGACGGGGATGGCGAAGGATGAGATGGTTAGACAGTGTCATAGATGCAATGAACATGAAGTTGAGCAAACTTCAGAGGACGGTGGAAGACCGGAAGGCCTGGCGTGATCTGGTCTATGGGGTCGCGAAGAGTCAGACTTGACTGTGCGACTGAACAACAGCAACAAATCAGCCTGCTTTAGAGCTGGATTATTTTTGTGCCTCTACATGTTCTTGATGGTTTACCTCTTTATTCCCCCCTTTCCAGCTTTTCCCATATAGCAAGCCACATACCAGGTAGAGGCAGCAACCACAGGGTCTTCTTAAGCATAGCCACCATATGGGTGTTCGGTCACATGCAAGTCTAATTGATGTGCAACAGTATGATGACCATGGGGGCGCAATGCGGCTGGGAAAAGCTTCCCTTTGCAGAAGTTATTATGAGATGCTAACGGAACCTGGTTGCCTAAACCGATGCTCAACCCTTAGCACATCTTTGGTCGTGGAAACACGTTTCCATTAACAGCAGCTATGTTATCTATCACTGGTTACCGAAGAAGCCAAGTCAAGCTACAGGGAAAGGTCATCTTGGTACCAATTCTCCAGTTAATGCACCACTCCTTACTAAAATTGAACACTCTGAAAAACATAAATACAGCCTGGGACCAGGGTTGATCCTGCCCCATCAGGTTATACTCTCAATCAAGGCCCTGTTCTGGGTGCCCCCATCTTTGTAAGTTAGTCTACCAACAACAACAGGGACTTTTCTGTGGTGGTGCCCCAGTTTAGTTTCCTAAACATATTAGCTTAGCAATAATACCATTATCCTTAAAGGGCCAGGTTAACACTGTCCTCTTCTCCTAACAGCAAATACTATGGACCAGGCCTCTTACATTTTAACTTGGTGTTTCATCTGTTCAAAGTTCTAGGTCATTTTGTCTTAATTTGTCTTGATATTTTAATTGTGTGCTATTTTTAAAAACATGTAGACCAGGGTTTTTTTAATGTACAGGGAGGATGTGGTTCAGTGGTATACCATATCTTTTCTTTGAATAAGGTACAGTCCCCAGGATCTCAGGTGTTGACAAAAGTCTTTTTCTACCTGGAATCTTGGGAAATGACTGCTGGTCAGTCAACAAAAGAGGGTCACATGGACCAGTGGCACAATGCAGCTGCACACATCTAAACAACCACAGCAGTTTTCTAGACTGCATGATCTAGAGCTTAAACATTTTCAGACATGAGATCTATGCGGCCAGATTTTTGTCTCTTATGATATCTGTAAAACGCTCCTCTGCTATGCATTAATGCAGCAACTTAGAGGGTTTTGTATCTTTTAATGCTATTTTATTTGTTATATAATGCTTTTCATTTATTATTTGTAAATGTTTCTGATGTGATCCGTGTTTTAAACGTATTGTATTGTTCAGCTTGAGACCTCAGGTCAATGAAGCTTATTGTTAAAAAGGGAGAGGACATGGGGTCCATCTTTAGACCAAACTACCAGTGTGAGACCCATTTTAATGTTTTGTTAAGTATGCCAATACTGCTTTCTTTGCTTTCTTGGGAAAGCAAAGCCGATTAAATGGTAGCAATTTCCACCATTATGACTCACTTTAAGCCAAGCCGGGACCCTGCTGTAGCTCACAATCCACCAGCAGAAATCTAGTAATCTAGAATGCAGTATTCCAGGTTCCTTTACAAATAATTTATGCTTTCTGGGTGTGGAGTGCCCAACTTTGGAGAAAAGCCAAACTCCAGCTGAATCTCGTAAAAACCAGAAGAGGCTAATTCTTTTTCTGCTGGCCTGAAATAAGAATTCTTGGCCATGATTTTGAATGCCTCAACACAGCCTTCCCCTTTTCCTCCCTGGCAAATAGTAATGCGTTGAACTTCTATTCTCTGGCAGAAACCCAGCCCAGGCCTCTCAACACAGTCAGCTCAGTTGATCAGGAAGTTGCTGTTCCTGCAAGATGCATGTCAGAAAGTCAAAGGGGGGAAAAAACACAGTGTTCAAGGTGAGACTTATCTTGCCAATGTAAATAAAGTAAGGCAGAGGTAGAATGCCAGGAGGCGGTGGCAAAAAAAGCAAGGGGCAGGCTCACAATTAAGAAAGCAAGTCAGGAAACTGACCAGTGATGCCGGGTGTGTGTGTAGGGAGAATTCCACAGTCAGAGTGAAGGTTCAGTGCAAGGTGCCTTGGGGAAGACTAACAAAAGGCACTTTATTCTGGCCCCTGTAATGTAGATGTCCTGTATGCTCATTCCTTAGGAAAAGGTTTAGTTCTAGAGGGAAGTTATCTTAAGTATTCCCAGATGAGAGATCTGTAGTTAGGGTTTCCGAGATGTCTATTTCTCTTTGCAGTGGGCTGGAGATTTTCTAGGTGAAATGGAGCATCTATTTGGGGACTGCTTCTAGGAACAAAAGGAGAGGAAATGAGGAATGGCCTCTGGATAAGAAAAAGGAACAGAGCTGTATTAACTTTTTAGATCCAGATTTTATTTATTTACTTCATTTATACTCTGCCCTTCTCCCCGACGGGGACTCAATGCTGTTTACACCATTCTCTCTTCCATTTTATCCTCACAACAATCCTGTGAGGTAGGTGGGCTGCATGTCTGTGACTGGCCTAAGGTCCCTCAGCAAGTTTCCAGGGCAGAGCTGGGATTCAAACCCAAAATCTCCCAGACCCTAGGAAAAGGACCAAGGTATATGAATGATTGTTATCAAGACTGAAGGATTTCTATGGAGGAAGAAATGTGTTTTTGAGATGACGATGGTTTTGCAGATTGGCTGAATATCCTTTTAAGGGATGCTGTTCATATGACATCTTGAGTGAAGGAAGCCGGTGGAACTTTCCTTAGCTGAGGGAGGCAGGTAGCTGGGTCATGCCTCTTTCTAGAAGTGAGGTTATGGAATTGTTGGCTCTAGGTGGAGGGGAAGAAACAGCCTGAGGGTGTTATTGTTGGCAGTCTTTTTCAGATTGGGTTCTATGCTGGAGCACCAGCTTGAGGGAGGGAGGGAGGAAGGGAGGGAGGGGCAGCCTCTGGGATGGCAGACAGCTGGGAGATTTCCCTAGGGACACACTGCTTGGAGGGAGAGAGGGTCTCTGGAGGGGATGGAGACAGGTGAAGTAATACCCCGTCACCAGAAGGGCATGATGAGAACGGTGAGCGTCTGTTTTGTGGAATGCGCACAGCCATTACGAGCGGGTGTTCGGTGAGGCATTTGGGGAAGGGGGGGATCTACTTTCAAAGCAGGAGTCACGTTTCCACCCGGATCTATTTAAGACGGGACCAAGCCGACCATCATCTCCACTCCGGAAGGGTAGCCCCCTCCCCCTTTTTTTCGGATAAAGGGAAGCCGGGAAGACACCAGCTGGCCCCGTCCCCTCTCATCCCTTTGCCCCAACTTACCCGCCGGATGGCCCGCGGGACTCCTCCTGTCGCTGCCATGCCGTTAAGGGTGCTGCTGTCTAATGGGACCGGGCGGGGTCTGCGGGAGGCGCGATAGAAAAGTTCCGCCCCCCCCGCCCGCCTCTAACCGCTCCTCCTCCCTTTGCTCGCGGGCCGCTTTTCCTAGCCAAAAAAGAAAAGAAAAGAAAAGGCTTACTATTTAAATCAGGAGGACAACACAGACCCAAAATCGGTTGTCAGTCATCCTCGATGTTTGTTTGTTATAAATTCAGTGCCTTTGCGCGCGTGTTCAACGGGAAAACGGGCGCTCTCCCTCCACTGGTGGAGTATTAGGGCTCCTGGAGCCTCTGTAGGAATGGTGTTGAAACTGGCATGAAGTATTTATAGCATGCTTCGTTTTTACCCTGACCGTAATCCCTGACGCTTTCATGAATAATTGTCTTGTTGGGTCAGATCAAAAGCCCCTCTAATTCAGAACTTTGCAGATCCCCCCCGAAAGAAAAAGAGCAAGACAGAAAGACTCATTCCCCCATAGGAAGGCGGGCTGGCACTCTTAAGGGCCACAGAGGAAAGCAGGATCAGAAACTCGTTAGATGCACAGGGAAGAGAAATAGGGTGGGCAGGGACTAGAAGGGGAGTACTTGAGGGGTGTGAGCGTGGGTGGAAGATGTCACTCAGCAGCCTAGCTGGTGGTTGTTTTTTTTCTGTGGGGGGGAGGGAGTATGCAGCCAATCACACCCGCCCTTCCCCAAACACACCCTCTAATACAGCCAATGGCAGAGCTGGAATGAGCAGGATATACTATCTTAAACAAGCACATGTATCTGGTTTATTAGCGTACAGAACTGCTAGAGAGGGGGTATAGAAAGGTAGCCAATAGGGAAGACGTACAAGAACATGTACAAACATTCTCCACGTCATCTAGGTGTGTGCTGTTTATTTAAATTATTAGCCCTCTCAAAGCTTGGGACACGTAAGGGGGGGGGGGAGGAAGTACAAACATAAAGAGCTCAGTGAAAAGCAGCCTCCGACAGGTGGTAAAGCACACAAAAAACTTTTTGACAGACGTTAGTGGTTTAATTAGGGTGGCAGAAAGACTCCTTCAATTTTAACTAAAACAGGAATCCTCTGGCACCTTAGAGGCTAACAGAATTTGTTACAACATAAACTTTCATGCCAGAGCTTCTGGCTCATAAAAGCTCAAGCTGGAATACATTGGGCACTCCAAAGTGCCAGCAGATTCCAATTTTTAATAGTTTGGAACACACAATCTCAAAAGGTCCAAAAAAAAGATGCTCAGATGTCCAGTTTTGGGATCCCCTGCCAAGCTGAGTTTATTTACTGAAAGGAACTTAAGTCCACTTTTTCTAGCTGCATTGAGTGCTTTTAAAAGAACAGCTAAGCTAGTCATAAAATAATTTTGGAAAGTGGTAGTCCTTCTGTGTAATCAAAAGCATAGGCGAACAGGATGGGTTTCACCAGATGCCTGAAAGATCTGAGTATGGATGGAGTTCAACCATCAGGGATCACCACCAAGGAGGTCATACACTGCCTAACTTCAGCAGATGGAGATGCTCAGAGAAGGACCTCTGTCAAAGATCTTCACTGACAGGCATGTTCATATGTTGTGACAAGTCAGCACGTGAATCAGTGTTTCAAGCCTTGATCTGAGTTCCAAGCCGGTGCTGGCATAGTATAACACTCGAAGTATAAGTAAGAAGGCTTTGGGCTCAGTCTCTGCACTATTGTAAATGAAGTGGTTGACTTTCAGGATGGTACTACTGAGCTTCAACACTCTCCTCCATCTGTAAAGGGAGGATGTAGATGTGAAGATCATTGAAATAATCTATGCAAAGGCTGTACTTAATGAAGGCCATCAAGGCAGCAGATAGTTAAAAAGACATTAAACGTCAACTTAAAAACATACATATATGTATAAAACCAGCAATTAAAAAAACAAAGGAGTTTTGAGCACTTAGGAAATGCAGTCTGTATATTTAACTAGCAATTATTATTAGTTATTCTGCTTGGTTAGCCACGGCCTTGAGCAAATGACTGCAGAATCCCAACTTCATTCGCCTACCTGTGAAAGTCAAGTGGTTAAGACGCTGAACTGCAGGCTGTGGAAGGTCAGTAGTTCAGCAGTTCGAGATCCGAGCTGCTGCATGACAGAGTGAGCTCCTGTCTCTAGTTCCAGCTCCTGCCAACCTAGCAGTTCGAAAGCAAGAAATTGCAAGTAGATAAATAGGTACCACTTCGGTGGGAAGGTAACAGCGTTCCGTGCGCCTTGGTGTTCAGTCATGCCGGCCACATGACCACGGAAATGTCTTCGGACAGCGCTGGCTCTTCGGCTT